GGCTACTGCTGTCACTGACCCCTCCTTCGAGTCGTCTGCTGCGTCTGCCCTTGTCACTGAGCTTGTCGACTTTGCTGCGCGCTGTCGTCTAGACTACGCTGCTCGTCTTGTCACTGAGTCTGAGTCCGCCTGTCCTCCGTCCGTCGGGGGTGAGTGTGCCCTTGGCACGGACGTCCTTGAGGACAGGCAGGAGGAGTTCCAGTGTCTGGCCGCCGCTTCACCTCGTCTCGCGTCTGTACTGCTAGCCCCTGAGGGAGACCCGGATGCACCAGACATCCCGACTCCGCGCTCTTACGCGGAGGCGATAGAGGGTCCCTACTCCTCTCAGTGGCAGGCAGCTATGGATGCAGAGATGGCTTCCTGGAAGTCCACAGGCACCTACGTTGACGCTGTTCCCCCTCCTGGGGCGAACATCGTCAGTGGCATGTGGATCTTCAGGGTGAAGCGGCCGCCGGGTTCTCCGCCTGTCTTCAAGGCGCGTTACGTGGCTCGTGGCTTCAGTCAGCGGCAGGGGGTTGACTACTTTCAGACCTTCTCCCCCACCCCGAAGATGACCACTCTTCGGGTTCTGCTACACGTTGCTGCTCACCGTGACTACGAGCTGCACTCTCTCGACTTCAGCACAGCTTTCTTGCAGGGCAGCCTGCACGAGGAGATCTGGCTGCGTCGCCCACCTGGCTTCACTGGGTCTTTCCCTCCTGGTACCCAGTGGAGTCTCCGGCGTCCAGTCTACGGTCTCCGCCAGGCGCCACGTGAGTGGCACGACACACTGAGGACTACGCTCGCGGCACTTGGGTTTGCTCCTTCCACTGCCGACCCGTCGCTGTTTCTGCGCACCGACACCTCTCTGCCGCCGTTCTACATCCTCGTGTACGTCGACGACTTGGTCTTTGCCACAGCTGACACTGCTGGACTCGCCTACGTGAAGTCCGAGCTGCAGAAGAGACACACGTGCACTGACCTGGGTGAACTGCGCAGCTACCTTGGCTTGCAGATCACCCGGGACAGAGCACGCCGCACCATTACCCTGACTCAGTCACACATGGTGCAGCAGGTCCTTCAGCGCTTCGGCTTCACGTACTCCTCGCCTCAGGCCACTCCTCTGCCTACTCGCCACTCGCTCTCAGCTCTGCCTTCGGATGAGTCCGTAGAGTCGAGTGGCCCGTTTGCAGAGCTTGTTGGCTGCCTCATGTACCTGATGACTTGCACACGACCTGACCTCGCATACCCTCTTAGCATTCTCGCACGCTTTGTTGCTCCTGGGAGACACCGACCAGAGCACATGGCTGCAGCGAAGAGGGTGTTGCGCTACTTGTGCAGTACGTCGGGCATGGGACTAGTGCTTGGAGGGCGCAGTCCAGTGGTCCTCACTGGGCACGCAGACGCTTCTTGGGCTGACGACCAGGCTACGCAGCGGTCGTCTCAGGGTTACACCTTCAGCCTTGGTTCCGGCTCTGTCTCGTGGCGGGCTACCCGCTCGTCTTCTGTTCTCGGCTCCAGTTGTGAGGCTGAGATCTACGCTGGGGCTATGGCTGCACAGGAGTTACGCTGGCTCACCTACCTGCTGATCGACCTTGGAGAGCAGCCTCGTTCTCCTCCAGTCCTGTACGTAGACAACAAGGCCATGCTGGCCTTGTGTCGAGAGCAGCGACTGGAGCACAGAACGAAGCACATTGCTCTTCGCTACTTTCTTGCTCGTGAGCTACAGCAGCGTGGACAGCTGCGACTTGCGTACGTGGCCTCTGAGGCCAACACTGCTGATGTCTTCACCAAGGCACTTGCGCCTTGTGATCATCAGCGTTGCTGCACGCAGTTGGGTCTTGTGCCTGTCTTGCCTCACTTGCTCTCCTCTTGACCTTGCTTGTACCTTCACATATATATATATACTCTTGCTCTTGTATATCTCTATATATGATCTTGCATGTGAACTGGCCTTGTGGCCTTTGAACTTGTGCTCGGAATGCGTGGTGACTTTGTGATCCACCCTGAGCTTTGCTTTGCTTTGCTTGACTGGTCTTGTGACCCCTTGTTCTCCCCCACTTTGCCTATGGGGGTGTGTCAGAACATATAGCTTACTTATTTGTGTAGGCTATAGTGGGGTATCCCATAGGGGGTACAACCCAATTAGGGTTTCCTATTTGTACTCACTTCGTTCATAGTCATTTTCATTCTCGTTCTTTGTTTCCACACTTACCATTATCGATATTCGCTATCCTTTTTATGTTATGCGATGTGCAATCTGTGAACTGAACGTACGTTTTTAGTGCGTTGGGAGACGTGTGAAGTCATGTAAGTATGTTTGCTTACTGTTACGGGTGCAATGAATCGAAGTAGCGAGAATTGCACTAAGTTGTCAAACGAGTACACAGATGTGAGCGAAGGCATGAGCGAACATTTATACGCGAAACATGCAAACGGTAACGCGGTGCGTGCGAGCTAGCTACTGCTATGCTGGCAGCGAGGCTCGGGCTAGTCCCGATTCGTAGGCCGACACGGCCTGGCCAGCAGTGCGATGTTTGGCAAAACAGTGCGCGCGAAGTTGGCGAAGTCCCGTTAGCAGTAACGGCAATCAACGGCTGTTGCTGTACGCGATGTAGTCGGGCTCCGCAAGGAATGCCGAGAAAATTCCTTACACTTACACATACCGTAAGTACTTTTTTTTGAAGGAATATATGTGAATTGTCCTTCTGTACAGGCAAGTGTTTGACCTAAATGTAAAAAAAAAAAGACCTAATTGCACCACCCCGTGTTCTCCTGTGGTCAAGAAAGAACGAGAATGTTGTTGATCGCAAGCCATCGTTTTTGTCCCTTTTGTATTTCAATGGCCACACCTTTGCTCAAATGCATCCCCTCCTGCCCACTTGTCAGCCACAGTCCACCAACCCAAAGCAATTCTCCTTGCGTCACGCATCGTTCCTTCCGACTCCCTGAATTTCCCGCTCCGCGTATCGGGGCTAGGCGGAGTTCACCCAAGCACATCCATTTCCTTCCCCTCCCCACCGCATTTTCCCCTCCCTTTTCCAGACCCCGCCGCTATATCCACACATCCACCTTCCCTGTGCTGCATCCCCCGAGCCCGACTCCACTTCCGCCTTCCCGTTGCCACCCTTTCCGCAACTTCTTGCGCGACGGATACCCAACATCCAACCACGTCTCGTTGTTTATGGACCGTAAGAAAGCGGATCCAATGGCCAGTCTTGTCGTCTCTTTCCAAGGTGCACGAGCTCCTCCCCCAAGCCTCGTACTGTACACGGATCATACAGAACCAAGGTCCCCCCTCTCCTCTCCCCTCCCCCACCCTCCCTCCTCCATCCGGACTGTTCCACTTCAATCCATCTCCGCCAGTGCGCCACCCTTTATTCACTCCCGCTCTCCCCCAATTGACCGCATCCCTTCCGCCTGGCCTTTCTTCACCCATTCATACGTGTTCACCCCCTCCCCGCACACCCTCTTCCCCGCACCTCCGCTCTCACCTCCTCCAAATCTCCCGTCCCCTACACAACCGTTCCCCCTTTCCCGTTGCGGCGACCTAGGGTTTCAGTTATACACGGATGATTTAGTTGCGCCTGATGCCTGGTGCGGGATGCGCGGATAAATCCTGACGGCTGGAACTGTCCGAAGTGAAACGTCGACATCCCCCTTTTTGTACACCCGATGCTCAGCCCTTGCATGCGAATTAATGCTTCAAGATGGAAAATCTGCACCCGTGTTTTTTTTCTCTAGCCAGTTGCACTCACAATATAATCACGCTGCGCCTCTAAACTTTAGAGTAACGAACAGATTGAAGTCAAAGTGAAGATACAGAAGTCAAAATGTCAACAAAAAGTTACAATAATCTTATAAGCACCTGAATTACCTTTTTTGCTAGCTGCAAATTGACGAAACTTTTGCACGCAAAAACAAGTTAAGCGCCTTCTTCACAAGGCAACCAGGAGTGTCTTAAACGAGAATCACGTGTATGATTTGATCGCGGCTAGAATTTGGTTCCATAGCAAGCAATCTTCTGTCTGGGCAGCTCTATGGGAACGTGGACAGACACTTGTCCCGATAGCTTCGTACGCGGGAAGCCTAGGCCCGTCAAGTAAACTAGGCCTGGAAGGCAGGGCTCAGGTTTGGCGTGGGAGTCACGTTAGGTTCGAGACGACGCGGGTAATATTTGGGCGGGCGGAAATGGCGTGGAGCAAATTTGCCTCACGTGCGCCGCTCAAGCCCAGTTGTTGTTCACTGGCAGGAAATGCCAGCGTGTTGCCGCCGAAGCGGCTGCGCATTCAGCCACGCCCGCGCCAGCGACTGTGGCTCCGCGGCTCCGGCTGCGAGAGGCGGGCGCGCACTGAGGCTCGCGTGTGGTTCGTATCCGCGCACGCGCCAGTCGCGCTTTCGACTGATGGTCTTGTCCCGTCCTGTTCTCCTCATCTCGTTCCTCCATCATCCTGATTCCTCATCCCGTGCATGTCTGGAGTCCTCCTGGCTCAGCATGTCCTGTGTTCTATCGTCCGTCCCGCAGCGGCAGCGAATAGACGCACGCGGAACGAGCGAGGCTTCTCTGCTTGAGCGCCTGCCTTTCTTCCGCCTTATTCTTCTCCTCAGATCAGTCGAACCAAGGGAGACACAGCTGTGCGCCTAGATGCTCATGTCTCTTCGTGCCTTCCGTGAGAGTCGCTGGAAAAAATCGTAAACAGCCCGCGCCGCTGCTACTCATAGTCGTATGCCCAACCCGCTCTGATTTGGCGGTGCTAGGAAGATACGTAGTACAAAACAATTTCGAAGGCGCTTCGGGACATTGAGACCCAACTAGGGCTTTAGTAGTAATGCAACTCGTAAGCTGTGCTTGTCTAGGAGGCCTTCTTTAGGAGGTATTTCTTAACCACACTCGGGGGCTCCCGTTTTTTCGCCACGTGGCGATTTTTCATGCCCGGATTCTCGGTGAGAAGCTGGGCGGTTACGAGCTAGGAGGTAACCGCAGAGACCTGACAATTTGGCGGTTTTAGCTCGTGAATCATATGGGTCCGACTTCGGCGGACGGTGGGTGCGACGAGATTGGCGGCGACAGTGGCGCCGGAAGTGGCGGCGGGGGACGTGGCTGCTACTACTTTAGTAGTGCTTACGGCGGTTGTAAGGACGCCATCGCTGCTGCCGCGCCCGCAACTAGCGGGGTTTCCGGCGCCACCGGCGGCTCCGGCTCCGTCGATCGCAGCTCGTATGGCTTTTCGGACGGCCTCTGCTCGATCGGCGGCGGCGGCGGTGGTGGCGGTTGCGGGGGCGGCGGCGGCGGAGGAGGGGGAGAAGGAGGAGGAGGAAAGAAACCCCGCGTGGACTGTGTAAGGAAGCCGCCGCATTCAGCGGCGCATTCACCGCCGCATTCACCGCCGCATTCGCCGCCGAGTGTCGCGCTGAACCTAATGGGCGGAGCAGGCGGAGCTGGCTTCTACGGAGAGAGGGAGTCCTCACAGATTGAGTTCCTCGACGGCGCAATCAGCGGCGGGCTTCATGGCGAAAGCGGCGTGGTTACTGCCGGGCCGCCCGGGGCGACGCGCGATTTTGCAAGCGCGCTCTGGGGTCAGACGGGTCCGACCGCGGCGCGTTACCCGAGCCGCCACACGGAATCGGAATCGACGGGAATCTCCGCGGAGGGAAACGGAGGGACAAAAAGATCGACCGCGCGCGCGACGGAGCGCGGCGGCGGAGGGCTGGCAGCAGCGTCCGCGGAGGCGGCGGCGGCGGTGGCGGGAGCTGGTTTCGGCGGAAATGGTGCAGCCGGCAAAATCCGCCATGGTTTAGTTGTCGGGTCGATTACGGCGAATGATGTGACTATGACGAGTATGCGCAAGGTGCACAAGGCGGACCGCGAGAAGCTGCGGCGCGACCGCCTCAACGACCAATTTACGGAGCTCGCGACCGTGCTGAGTGCGTCTCTCCCCTCTCCCATGCGCCTTTCCCCTCTTGCGCCTCCTCTTCCGCGACTTTCCCCTTCTCCTCCCCCCTCGCGACCGCCTCAGCGACCAATTCGCGGAGCTCGCCACCGCGCTGAGTGCGCCTCGCTTCCTTTTCCGCCTTCTCGTCCCCGCTTTCCCGCTTTCCCACTTTCCCGCTTTCCGCGGAGCTCGTGGGCGTGCTGAGTGCGTCCCTCTCCCCTGCCATGCTCCTTTCCGCTTCCGCTCATTCCGCTTCCGCGCATTCCGCTCCCCCGTCACTGAGCCGCTTCTTCCCCTCGGATCGGATCACGTCAGCGCGCTCGCTGTGGTGCTGAGCGCGTCTCGTTTCCCTTCTGCCTTCCCCGCGTTCACACTTTTTCCCGTCCCGTTTCCCCATTCCCCCTTCCCTGCGCCTCCGCAACTAGTCCGCGGAAACTGCTGAAGTGCTTAATGGAAAACCGGAGCACGTCTGGATAAGTGAAAAGTGGTCACTGTTTGCAAAGCACGTCTGATACCGGTAGATGAAAAACGGGAGCATGTCTGGATACCTTGTAGAGAAATGGTTATTATTTGCAAAGCACGCAAACTTTTGAGACGAGGCGAGGCGCCTAAAAAAACGTAGCATGTCTGGATATTTCGTAGAATAGTGGTTACTGTTTGCAAAGCAAGCAAACTGTAGTGAAGTGTGCAAGCCTGCACGCCGTGCCACCCATTTTTTAGTAGACTCAAAACTAGCCTGCGCGCCACGCCACCCATTGCCCTACCCCCCCTTCCCTTTCCCCGCTCACTTCCCCTTCCGACTTTCCCGTTTGGCATCCCGCTTACTGTCCTATCCTTGGCCCCCTTTCCCCCTCCTCCCTCTTCCCCCCCCCTTCTCCCCTCTTTCCAGCCCCCACCCGCCATGATCCCATTCTTATCTTTGCCTCTTGTCCTCTCTGCATCGTTTTCGGTTCCCATACTGCACGCATGGCATGGCATGGCGTGGCATGACATGTACGCATGGGTGGCATGGCATGGCATGCACACACGGCATGGCATAACATGACATGCACACACAAATGGGCAGACCCCGAGCGGCCGAAGAATGACAAGGCGACCATTCTGGGCGATGGCTTGGTGGTGCTGCAACAGTTACGGCTCAACGTGTGTCGCCTGCGCTCCGACCATTCTGCTCTGCTGGACGAGTCCAAGGAGGTGGGTTGGGTGCAGTACGGTACAGAGCGGTACAGTATGGCATGGTACGGTGGTTGGTGGTACACAGTAGTACGTGGTGCAGTGCAGTGCACCGATTGTGGGCGATGGCTTGGTGATGCTCCTCAGCGTGCACCAATTGTTGAGGCGCCTCAAAAGATGACTTTCGAAGCGCCTCAAAAGTCGTCTCAAAAGTGGCGCCTCAAAAGTCGTCTCAAAAGTGGCGCCTCAAAATTCGTCTCAAAAGTGGCGCCTCAAAATTCGTCTCAAAAGTCGCGCCTCAAGACTTGGTAATGCTCTGACTGACAGCCAAGGCTCAGCGTGCACCGATTGTGCTCCGACTACTCTGCTCTGCTGGACGAGTCCAAAGAGGTGGGTGCACTGCGGTACAGAGCGGTACGGCACGGTAGGCGACCAATCTGGGCGATGGCTTGGTTATGCTGCGGCAGGCAACCAAGGCTGAGCGTGTGTCGTCTCCGGTCCGACCACCCTGCACCACTGGACAAGTTCAAAGAGGTGGGTGCAGTGCGGTACAGAGCAATACGGCACGTTGATTTTTGGGAATATGTTCATTCATCCCCTCCTCCCCTCCGCCCCTCCTCGCCTCCTACCCTCCTCCGCCCCTCCCCTCTCCTTGTTTGCATCACCTTTTCCCCTCCAGCTTGCGATTGAGAGGTCGGTGCTGCGGCAGGAGAAGGCAGCGTTGAAGCTGGAGATAGAAGGTGACTTTTGAGTCGACTCAAAAGATGGGGTTAGAAGCCGTGCAGGCTCAGCTGCGGGAACAAATCAAGTGCCATGTGTCATGTGCCATGTGCTTTCCTCTCTCCCTCTCCCCATTTGCATTGCCCTCAACCCCCAGCTCGGGTCAGAGAAGTCGGTGTTGCGGCAGGAGAAGGCGGCACTGAAGCTGAACTGAAGGCGGCGATGAAGCTGGAGATCGAGACGATGCAGGCTCAGCTGCAGGAGAGAATCAATGTGCCCGTGTGTGTCCCCCGCTCCTCCCCTCCTTTGCATGACCGTTTGTGCCACCAGCTTGCGAGTGAGAAGTCGGAGTTGCGGCAGGAGAAGGCAGCGTTGAAGCTGGAGATAGACGCCATGCAGGTGCAGCTGCAGGAGAGAATCAACATGCTCGTGCCCTGGATGTGCAACACTGATGCTTCTGCTGCTCATTGTGCTGGCGATGCTGCTGCCGGTAGTGTTTCTGGTGCTGCCGGTGCTGCCGGTAGTGTTTCTGCTGCTGCTGGTACTGCCGGTGCTGCCGGTGCTGCCGGTGCTGCCGGTGCTGACGGTGCTGCCGGTCCTGCCGGTGCTGCCGGTGCTGCCGGTGCTGCTGGTGCTGTTCGGGTACCTGCAACCCCCGCCCAGCCTACTTCTGCGTTGCTTCCTCCTGTGCCTCACCCTTCTCTCGCTTCTCCTCCTCCTGCTTCTCTTCCCTCTCTTGCGTCTCCTCCTGCTCCGCTTCCCTCTGCCTCTTATCCCCCTCTCGTTGCTCCTCCTGCTGCTTCTTCTGCTCCTCCTGATCCGCTTGCTGCTGGTGCTGCTGTGTGTTCCACGCTGCAGCAGCACCAGCAGTTTTATGTGCAGCAGCAGCAGCCACAGCAGCAGCAGCCACAGCAACAGCCACCGCAACAGCAGCAGCAGCAGCACCAGCACCAGCAACAGCAACAGCAACAGCAACAGCAGCAGCAACAGCAACAGCAACAGCAACAGCAGCAGTACCAGCCACATTACTACACTCCCACCACTTCTCATCAGCAAGCTTATGTGTTGGTTCCCGCCTATCAGCCAGTACCCCCCACACACCCCCAGCTGCAACACCCTGCAAACCAGACACACAGCCTAGAGGAGCATCAAGTCAACCAGACAAGCAACCAGCAGCAGCAGCAGCACACACACACAGTCACCCAACAGCATTTCTCACCCACACTAGTACTACCTCCTCCTCCTCCTGCTCATCCTCCTCTTCCTCCTTCCGTTACTCATCCTCCTTCTAACCATCCCCCCCTTGCTCCTCCTCCCCATCAACAGCAGCCACAACACCAGCAACAGAATTATTACTACCAGCAGCAACAGACGCATCAGCAGCAGCAGCAAGCACAGCAGCAACAGCCGCATCAGCAGCAGCAACAGCAGCAACCACAGACTATCTTCCAGCTTTCGACTCAGCAGCAGCAGAAGCAGTTTATCCTGCAGTCTTCCACACAACAGCAGCTAAAAACTCCCCAAAACTGTGGTAGCTACTGTATGCACACACAACCACACACCACATCACCACACACATCACCACAAACCACACCCCCCCCACATAACACCCATGCTCCAAACTGGACAGGTCATCAGGCGCCTTTGACAGATCAGCAAGGGGGTGTGACAGGTCAGCTTTCACAATCGCTGGCATCGTTGGTGCAGTCTCCTAGTGTTGCCGGTCTGCCCGGCCAACCAAGTCAATCCGGTCAACTGAGTCAACCCAAGACAGCTGGTCAACCCAGTCAACTTAGACGCGCTAATCAACCGCTGCTGAAGATTCCTCCTCTCTTGGTACCAAGCCAGCCACAACACCCACCACAACCGCACCAGCACCCACCACAACCGCACCAGCACCCACCACAACCGCACCAGCACCCACCACAACCGCACCAGCAACCACCACAACCGCACCAGCACCCACCACAACCGCACCAGCACCCACCACAACCGCACCAGCACCCACCTCAACCGCACCAGCACCCACCTCAACCGCACCAGCACCCACCCCAACCACACCAGCACCCACCACAACCACACCAGCACCCACCTCAACCACACCAGCACCCCACTCAACCACACCAGCACCCACCTCAACCGCACCAGCACCCACCACAACCGCACCAGCACGCACCACCACCGCAACAGCAGTTACAGTCAAAGCACCAACAGCAGCAGTTTCAGCAGCACCCGTTCAACCAGCAACAGCAACAGCATTGGCAGCAGCAGCAACAGCAGCCGCAACAGCAGCAGCAGCAGCAACAGCAATGGCAGCAGCAGCAACAGCAGCAGCAACAGCAACAGCAGCAACAGCAGCAGCAACAGCAGCAACAGCAGCAACAGCAACAGCAGCAACAGCAGCAACAGCAATGGCAGCAGCAGCAACAGCAACAGCAGCAGCAGCAACAGTTGCAACAGCAACAGCAGCAACAGCAGCAGCAGCAACAGCAGCAACAGCAACAGCAGAAACAGCAGCAACAGCAACCACCACAGCAACAACAACTGCTGCCACATCAGCGACCACCAGCGCTGGTGCTTCCTTTGCTTGCCAATGTACCTCACAGCACCACACCTCACAGCACCACACCTCACAGCACTGCTGCTACCCCTGCTACTAATGCTCCCACTGCCGCTGCTGGTTCATCTTCATCTGTTGTCAGCCCCAGCAGGATCCCCAACCTTCTCAGGCTGCCTCGAGTGCCCAGCCCCAGGCTTACTGCTAGTAGCATTCCCCTTGTTCCCAGTCCCAAGCTGAGTGCTAGCATTCCCATTGATCCCACCCCCAGTGCACTTTCCGGTGTTAGGAGCCCACCCAGCACATCACCGATGGGTAAATCACCCAGATTATTGGTGAGTCCACCCAGGGCGAGCCCTGGTACAGAGGCGGCTCAAAACGGGGGTAAATTACCCTTGATGTTGCGAAGTCCGCTTAGGGTGGCGCCGAGACATGTACCATTTACACCTGTAGCGCATGTGACAATGACGCCAGGTGCTGCGACTTTTGATTCGCCTCAAAAGTCGCGGAGACATGGTCAATTTGCGCCTGTAGCGCATGTGACAACGACGGCAGGTGCAGCACCAACCCTACCTGGTGCTACCACCGCGACCAATGCAACTGTGGCCAATGCTGCGGGTGTAACAGGTGGTGCTACAAGTGTAGCCACTGCAGGTGCTGCTGTAGCCGGTGCTACAACTGTGACTGTACCAGGTGGTGCCACTGCCACTGTAACGAGGCCAACAGCAGCTCCTGCGGTTACAGGAGCTCTTTCTGCTGCCAGGATCCCAACTCCTGCCAGCCATCCTTCTCAGCACTCTACAGTCGTAGCCCCTGCCAGTCCTGCTACATCCTTACCTCCTCCTAATCCTGCCACAGCCATTGCTCCTAGCCCTGCTACAGCTGCAACTCCTGCTGTTACTGCTCTCCCTTGCGCTCTGCCTGCGACAGTACCTGCTACTGCTACAACCGTCCCTTCTACTCCACCTGCTATAGAACCCGCCGCTGCTACAGCCGTACCAGCTGCTGCTGCTGCTGCTGCTCCACCTGTTGCTGCTGCTGCTGGTGTTGCTGCTGCTGCTGGTGTTGCTGCAGAAACATCAGCACATAAGGAGTAGCAAGAGCAGGTGCTGCTGGTGCAGAAGTGATAGGAAGAGGTGATGAGGAGGTGCACATCCTCCTTACAAGGACGACACTGCCTTAAACCGCGTGATGGCATTTGCATACGGTACTGTTTTATGACTTGTTCATTGATTTCTTTTGCATTGTATTGCTCTTATTCAACATGTTCTAGTTGCTTCGTTGCGGCTTTGTACCTGTTGTTGAAGAAAATCACCTTTTGGTTAAACATATCAGCTGTATTTGGGGGACGCCGGTTAGGTGTAGATGGTGGAACAATAGAGGGACGTACAAAAACAAACAAGACATTGATGTGATTTTATTGTGCCTACATTGCTGCTTGTACTGCTGTACTCATCAGCTTAAATAAATGTCATTTGGATCTACACATACAAAACATAACTGAATAATGAGATGGCACTGTACGAATGCAATTAGGCAGTGCCAGCCAATTGAAGCAGAGCAATCCGAAAGGCAGGAATAGAGATGAGGATAACACTGAGTGTGCCCTTGAGAGCAAATGCCAGGCCTGACACTGCATGGGGGGAGGGGAGATGGGTACAGAGGGCGATGGGGAGAGGGAAGGGAAAAGGGCAGAGAAGTCAGGGATTAGGGACACCATCATGAGAGAGAAGAGAGAAAATGCCGGGATGGAGATGAGGATAACACTGAGTGTGCCCCTGAGAGCAAAGGCCAGGCCTGACACTGGATGGTGAAGAGGGATGGGGGGAGAAGGGAGGGATACAGAGGAAGATGGGTAAAGAGTAGTGCAAATGAGGTGACTTTTGAGTCGACTCAAAAGGACATGGGGATGGTGATGATGAGGAGAAAGTTGAGCATGCCATCGATAGCAAAGACCTGACACTGGATAGCAACTCACTACGGAAACAGTTGCATTTTTGGAACTTACCTGCTATGGTTTGTGAGACTGGTAGGCACGTAATAAAAGTGATTTTTTGAGACGTCTCAAAATTTCACTTTGATCACGTGGTTACCCTGGGCAGTGAGGTTGTTATGTCTACTACAGAGGTGACTTTTGAGTCGACTCATATGTCTACTACATACCTGCAAAATTCATACCTGCACCAGTCAACACCTGCGCCAGACAACACCTGCGCCAGACAACACCTGCGCCAGACAACACCTGCGCCAGACAACACCTGCACCAGACAACACCTGCGCCAGACAACACCTGCACACCTGCCCCACTACTACTGCACCAGTCAACACCTGCACCCGTCTTACCCGCAGCAGAGCGAGGCTCCTCTGCAACCTGAAACAGGAGAAATGGCACCAAGGGAAATGGGCGAACATCAGGCAATAAACAATATTGACTTCTTTTAGAGGACGTGAAACTGGGTAACGAATACATTTAGAAACGCCAAAGGCGGGCGGCCAATGCTTTTGGACAAGTCAAAACTTGGCTGCTGCTGACCGACTTCGTGCCATGAAGACCATGAGAGGAACAAGGCGCGTTTTGAGACGTCTCAAAACACGAAGACCATGAGAGGAACAAAGCGCGTTTTGAGACGTCTCAAAACATGAAGACTATGAGAGGAACAAGGCGCGTTTTGAGACGTCTCAAAACATGAAGACCATGAGAGGAACAAGGCGCGTTTTGAGACGTCTCAAAACATGAAGACCATGAGAGGAACAAGGCGCGTTTTGAGACGTCTCAAAACACGAAGACTATGAGAGGAACAAGGCGCGTTTTGAGAAGTCTCAGAACAGGAAGACCATGAGAGGAACAAGGCGCGTTTTGAGACGTCTCAAAACATGAAGACCATGAGAGGAACAAGGCGCATGCGAAGCAGTCAGGTAGTTAAGTCTGTGAGGCCACATACCAGAGCAGAGCAGAACAACAGTCAGGTGGGTGGGTATGGCTTTTGAGATGCCTACCAGAGCAGAGGTGCCGAGGGAGTGCTGCTCCTAGTGTATGAAGAAGTGCTGCTCCTAGTGTATGAAGAAGTGCTGCTCCTAGTGTATGAAGAAGTGCTGCTCCTAGTGTATGAAGAAGTGCTTTGAGGTGCCGAGGGAGTGCGCCTCAAAACACTTCTTCATACCGGAGGGAGTGCTGCTCCTAGTTGCTGTGAACGTTTTTCGAGCCGCCGATTTGGAGCTGTTGCACCTAGTTGCTGCTCCTAGTTACGCTATATGAGAAGAGAAGAGGCGTACCAGAGCAGAGGTGCCGAGGGAGTGCGAGGCAATGCCGACTGCCAGACCCCTGTGAATAGCGTCCTGCACCTGATGGGTGCAGGGAAAAGGGAGGGAACGAGGGAGGAGAAGAGGGAGCTTGAGGCTTTGTCCTTTGAGGCTTTGCCCTTTGAGGCTTTGCCCTGTTTCCGAAACCCATTGTATTCACCTCCACCCTGTGCTGATACCTCCACCCTGTGCTGATACCTCCACCCTGTGCTGATACCTCCACCCTGTGCTGATATCTCCACCCTGTGCTGATACCTCCACCCTGTGCTGATACCTCCACCCTGTGCTGATATCTCTACCCTGTGCTTATACCTGCACCCTGTGCTTATACCTACACCCTGTGCTGATATCTCTACCCTGTGCTTATACCTCCACCCTGTGCTTATAATGGTGGTCCCTGCTATAGTCACCCCTTTGCATTACCCACTGTAAACCAAACAACCACCCCCTCAGTCCTCTCAACCACCATTCGATCGTACCTTCATCCATTCTACTGATCAAGGAGGGTCCTGGCCATGCTAATATCGGTGGTGGCCAATATCAGTGGTGCCTGCTATAGTCACACCCACCCTGTATCCCAAATACCACCTCCCCCACCCCCCCTCTCCACCCCCTTTCTCCCCTTCCCCTCCCCCATTTGTACCTTCCACTGATCGAGGAGGGTTCTGGCCGTGCTAATACCGGTGGTGCCTGCTATAGTCACACCCGCCACCACGAGGCCTGTGCTGGCAGAGAGCAGCGGCACCATCTCGATGGCTAGACCCAGGGTGGTCTGGAGGAGGGGGAGATTGGAGAAGGGGAAAACGGAAAGAAGGGGCCAAGCGGGGTGGGATGGGAAGAGGCAGTGAGGCATGATCCAAGCAGCCACCACGAGGCCTGTGTGCTGGCAGAGAGGAGAGGCACCATCTCGATGGCTAGACCGAGAGTGGTCTGTTGGGAAGGTGGGGGAGAGAAGAGAGCGTAGAGGGGAGTGCGTTAGGAAGACCCAGCGCAGCAATTGATGGTTTAACTTTCCACTTGTGCTGGCAGAGAGGAGAGGCACCATCTCGATGGGCTGACTTTTGAGTTGACTCAAAAGTCAACTTTCCACTTGTGCTGGCAGAGAGGAGAGGCACCATCTCGATGGGCTGACTTTTGAGTCGACTCAAAAGTCAACTTTCCACTTGTGCTGGCAGAGAGGAGAGGCAACATTTCAATGGCTAGACCCAGGGTGGTCTGAAAGGTGGGAGGGAAAGGGCGAGGAAAAACGGAAGAAAGGAGAAAAAAGGGGAGAGAGAGGAGAAAAAAGAGGAAGCAAGGTGAGTCTCAAGCATGCAGGCTTCATCCTGTGAAGCAGCAAGAACTGTGTGCTGGTGAAGAGGAGAGGTTATAAGCAGTTCGAGGCCGATTCTAGGCGTCATGACCAACGGGTACACAACGGGTACACAACGCACACATGAATGCATGTGTGAGAGCACACATGCAGGAAGGACAGGAGCGCACGGCACGGCACGGCACGGCACGGCACGGCACGAACGTGTGAGGGGATGAGCGAGTTGATGACGATGGGGGGCGCCATGAGCAGCCTCCCTAGCAGCGCTGTCACCATGAACTGACTGTGACGGGTGGGGAGAGGAGAAGCAGGGGGGAGAAAGGGAAAAAATGTGGGACGTTGACGAGGGGATGTTTGCACAACGTGCCAACCAAGATTCTGTTTTGCAAAACCCTGAAACAAAAATCACACCCTGAGAAAACAAAAATCACACCCTGAGAAAACATGTCAAATAGAGCACACTCGCACTGACACCATGACGTGGCGGACTTATATTGGCATGATGACGTGGCATTCTCACATTGGCACCATGATTGCACACGTGGCAGCAATGTCAAGCGCGTATCTCTTGAGCAGCGACTTCTCTGTGAATACCTGTGAGCATGGTGTGGGAAAGGGGGGGGTGGTGGGTGGCAGGGGGGGGGGGGGAAACGGAGGAGGAGGATAGGAAGGACGAGGGAAAGGAGGAAAGAGAGAAAGGTCAAGCGGGCATCTCTTGAGCAGCGACTTCTCCGTGAATACCTGTGAGGACAGGCGGGGAGAGTGGTGGAGAAGGAGGAAAGGTAGGAAGGGAGCAGCAACTTTTCTGTGATACTTGTGAGGACAAGGGAAGGGGAGAGTAGTCAAGGGAGCACATAGAAAGGAAGAGGATAGGCGCAAAGAGTAAGGTGAAGCCCTGATGGCTTTTGAGAATTCTCAAAAGTAACTCGAGGATAGGCGCAAAGAGGAAGGTCAAGCCCTGATGGTAGAATCCCCAATCTTAAAGCCCCGCCTGCGCTCATTCCGATAGCCAACCAGCAGCGCACACCTTAATAAGGGCGCAACAAATTGAGTACACTGTCTGTACTCTTGAGAATTCTCAAAAGTCATACCAATTGAGTACACTGTCTGTCCTCGCCTTAGAAGCCAATCTGTCCTCACCTTAGAAGCCAATCTGTCCTCACCTTAGAAGCCAATCTGTCCTCACCTTAGAAGCCAATCTGTCCTCACCTTAGAAGCCAATCTGTCCTCACCTTAGAAGCCAATCTGTCCTCACCTTAGAAGCCAATCTGTCCTCACCTTAGAAGCCAATCTGTCCTCACCTTAGAAGCCAATCTGTCCTCACCTTAGAAGCCAATCTGTCCTCACCTTAGAAGCCAATCTGTCCTCACCTTAGAAGCCAATCTGTCCTCACCTTAGAAGCCAATCTGTCCTCACCTTAGAAGCCAATCTGTCCTCACCTTAGAAGCCAATCTGTCCTCACCTTAGAAGCCAATCTGTCCTCACCTTAGAAGCCAATCTGTCCTCACCTTAGAAGCCAATCTGTCCTCACCTTAGAAGCCAATCTGTCCTCACCTTAGAAGCCAATCTGTCCTCACCTTAGAAGCCAATCTGTCCTCACCTTAGAAGCCAATCTGTCCTCACCTTAGAAGCCAATCTGTCCTCACCTTAGAAGCCAATCTGTCCTCACCTTAGAAGCCAATCTGTCCTCACCTTAGAAGCCAATCTGTCCTCACCTTAGAAGCCAATCTGTCCTCACCTTAGAAGCCAATCTGTCCTCACCTTAGAAGCCAATCTGTCCTCACCTTAGAAGCCAATCTGTCCTCACCTTAGAAGCCAATCTGTCCTCACCTTAGAAGCCAATCTGTCCTCACCTTAGAAGCCAATCTGTCCTCACCTTAGAAGCCAATCTGTCCTCACCTTAGAAGCCAATCTGTCCTCACCTTAGAAGCCAATCTGTCCTCACCTTAGAAGCCAATCTGTCCTCACCTTAGAAGCCAATCTGTCCTCACCTTAGAAGCCAATCTGTCCTCACCTTAGAAGCCAATCTGTCCTCACCTTAGAAGCCAATCTGTCCTCACCTTAGAAGCCAATCTGTCCTCACCTTAGAAGCCAATCTGTCCTCACCTTAGAAGCCAATCTGTCCTCACCTTAGAAGCCAATCTGTCCTCACCTTAGAAGCCAATCTGTCCTCACCTTAGAAGCCAATCTGTCCTCACCTTAGAAGCCAATCTGTCCTCACCTTAGAAGCCAATCTGTCCTCACCTTAGAAGCCAATCTGTCCTCACCTTAGAAGCCAATCTGTCCTCACCTTAGAAGCCAATCTGTCCTCACCTTAGAAGCCAATCTGTCCTCACCTTAGAAGCCAATCTGTCCTCACCTTAGAAGCCAATCTGTCCTCACCTTAGAAGCCAATCTGTCCTCACCTTAGAAGCCAATCTGTCCTCACCTTAGAAGCCAATCTGTCCTCACCTTAGAAGCCAATCTGTCCTCACCTTAGAAGCCAATCTGTCCTCACCTTAGAAGCCAATCTGTCCTCACCTTAGAAGCCAATCTGTCCTCACCTTAGAAGCCAATCTGTCCTCACCTTAGAAGCCAATCTGTCCTCACCTTAGAAGCCAATCTGTCCTCACCTTAGAAGCCAATCTGTCCTCACCTTAGAAGCCAATCTAATCTGACTGAAAGTACACCGCGATAAGAGTGCAGCGGAATGAGTGTGCACTCTCCTACGCACCTTAAAGCCCAACGCCCCCACTGCAGGCCCGATCAGAGCCACGAGAAATGCACCTGGAGACGAGAGGGAGATGTAAGGTCGAGGGGTGGGAGGGAGGGAGGAGGGGAGGGAGAAGGAAGGGCACAAGGGAACAAGAGGAGCCAAGGCAAAGAGGGAGCGAATGAGGAAGAAGCCAGCCGAAGGAGAGGATCCTTTAAAAAAAATCTCTAATAGAGCACCGACAGAAGCTGATACAGAAGGGGGGCTGGGATGTGTACCTGCACGCCAGGACGAACTGAGGGAGTGCGGGACTTAGGGAGCGAGGGAGCGAGGGAGCGAGGGAGTGAAGGAGTGAGGGAGTGAGGGAGTGAGGGAGTGAGGGAGAGTGAGGGACCACCCAAAAGAAGCACCGTACCTGCGCATACCCTCCCCCACTCCCCCCTCTTTTCCCATCTCTCACCTCCCCTCCCCTCCCATTTCCCAGATAATGACATATCTCATATCCCATTCACCCACGCCCATGCCCCACCCACCCCCATGCCCTACGCCCCACCTGCGCCCCATGCACCCATGCCTTATGTCTCAGCTGCGCCCTGCGAGTAGAGGCGGATGCCCGCCTGCCAGTTGGTAAGAGCATATGAACCATACATGGCCATCAGCGACGTCATCACTGTCATCACCCCCTCCCCCCTCCACCTCACTTACACCCCTCCCCCGCCTTACTGTCTCACCTGCGCCCTGCGAGTAGAGGCGGATGCCCGCCTGCCAGTTGTTAAGAGCATATGAACCATACATGGCCATCAGCGACGTCATCACTGTCATCACCCCCTCCCCCCTCCACCTCACTTACACCCCTCCCCCGCCTTACTGTCTCACCTGCGCCCTGGGAGTAGAGGCGAATGCCCGCCTGCCAGTTGTTAAGAGCATATGAACCATACATGGCCATCAGCGCCGTCATCACTCCCCCTGCTGCCACCGTGGGGACTAGGAGAGCACGCACGTTGGCAGGCAGGCTGAAGAGGGCAGTGGGGGAAAGGACGGGGGAGGAGAAAGGGGGAAATGGAGGGGAGAGAGAGAGCAGTCAAGGAGCCATTAATGGCTATGATAGTTGTCATCACGCCCCCTGCTGCTGCTGTGGGGAATAGCAGCGAGCGGACTCTGGCAGGGAGACTGAAGAGGGGAGGAAAGGAAGAGGGGAAGGCGGAGCGGGTTGATGGGGCAGAGGAGACAAGCGGGAGGCGAGGGGGTATTTGGGTGAAGGTGTGAGGGAGCGGCGAAGGGGTGAGGGAGTGGCGAAGGTGTAAGGGAGCGGCGAAGGAGAGCTGGGAGGCATGAAGTACAGCATTATGCGGTGGAGTGGACGAGAAAGAAACGAAAAGGAAACCGAACGGAGAAAGGGGTTGGAGTTGGGGGAGGGAGGGGATGGGAAAGAGGCAGATGTGCTGTGCATTGTACTCTAGTTTTGGCAACGGGGTGAGATGAAAGGAGAGGCGAAGGGGTATGAGGGGAGGCGAAGGGGTGTTGACCTGGGAAAGAGACAGATGCGCATTATTGTACTCACGTTTTGGCGGACTGAAAGACGGCGATAGAGAGCAGGAGAAGGCCCGGCGCTACCTGCAGTGGGAAGGGGGAGAGGAGGAGGACGAGATGAGCGAAAGGAGCAGGGGGAGCGGACACAATGGGGCACAGCGGGACAGCATAAAGACGAATTTTGAGGCAAGGAGCGGACACGATGGGGGTACAGCGGGACAGCAGAGAGTGGGGTACGGGAACAGGAGCAGCAGCAGACGGGAAGGCGGTCAGTGAAGTCACCATGGGGAACGTGGGCTCGGGAGAACATGGTGACTTCACTGACCACCGTGGGAGGAGATCATGAAAGCAGCAGCGAGGGAGAGGCACTTGGAGGAGTAGAGGGGGGTGGTTGAGAGCTCAAGGGAACCCCACTTAGGAGGCATGACGTTGGGTGACAGTGGCTTTGTTTAGTTGAGAGGGTTGGTTGGGAGCAGCAGCGAGGAAGAGGCACTTGGGCGGAGTAGAGGTGTTTGAGTCGACTCAAAACACAATACTTGACGGAGTGGAGGGGGTTGTTTGAGAGCTTGAGACGCCTAAGTGACACATGGAGTGGCCTAGGTGACGGTCAATGTACAATCTCAATTCAGCAGGCTGCAATCTCAATTCAACATAGGCCGTGAGATGCGCTTGAGCTCACCATTTGGGCGGTGGGCACGGGTGTAAGAAGCGCAGGGGAGAGCACGAGGGCGGCAGCGAGGTAGAGGTACTTGGGCGGAGGAGAGGGGGAGGGATAGAGACGCCTCAACACAGGCAATTAGTTACCATGGGGGAAAGCAGTTAGTGGACTCACCATGGGAGCAGTGGGCACGGGGGTGAGGAGCGCAGGAGAGAGCATGAGGGCAGCCGCGAGGTAGAGGTACTTGGCGGAGGAGAGGGGGAGGGGCGGCAGCTTTTGTCTGACAGGCGTTTTGATGCTGTCGGCTACCTTGTCCAGTGCCTTGGCTGCTCTCACTGCCAGCTGGGAGCGAAGGAAAATGGGGCGAGGGGCGAGAAAGGGAAGGGAGAGCAAGGGAAATGAGGGAGTGTCCACATGCACGTGTGTGTGTGTGCATTCCAATGCCCCCCTCCCCTTTTTCCCCCTACTCCCCCTCACCTGCGCCACATCTCGCTCCCCCGCCCAGCGCCCATAGCAGCCAGCGCCAGCGCCTTGGCGCCCCTCTGTGGTGCGGTGTGCGCAAGTGCACATGTCTGTGCCTGTAGTATGTGCATGTAGTATGTGCGCTCACATGCATGTGTGTGCATTCCCGTCGCCCTTTTCCCCCTTTCCCCCCACCTCACCTGCTGCACGTCCTTCTCCCCCGCACGCATGGCAGCCTGCACCAGCGCCTTGGCGCCTCTCTGCCGTGTGTGGTGTCTGTAAGTGCACCCAACCCCCCATCCCCCCATCCCCCTACTCCCCCATCCCCCTACTCCCCCATCCCCCCATTCCCCCCCACCTCACCTGCTGCACGTCCTTCTCCCCCGCGCCCATGGCAGCCTGCGCCAGCGCCTTGGCGCCTCTCTGCCGTGTGTGGTGTCTGTAAGTGCACCCAACCCCCCATCCCCCCATCCCCCTACTCCCCCATCCCCCCATTCCGCCCCACCTCACCTACTGCACGTCCTTCTCCCCCGCACCCATGGCAGCCTGCGCCAGCGCCTTGGCGCCCTTCTGCGCGACCTGATTCCCCCACATGCGCGCAGCATCCGCTATCCGCTGCACCTTCTCCCCTCCCCGTAGCTCATGCCACCCCTCTGTGCATCTCTCTGTTTGCGTCTCGATCTGTGTGCATCTGTGTGTGTCCACATGCACGTGTGTGCATCTGTGTGTGTCCACATGCACGTGTGTGCATCTGTGTGTGTCCACATGCACGTGTGTGCATCTGTGTGTGTTCACATGCACGTGTGTGCATCTGTGTGTGTCCACATGCACGTGTGTGCATCTGTGTGTGTCCACATGCACGTGTGTGCATCTGTGTGTGTCCACATGCACGTGTGTGCATCTGTGTGTGTTCACATGCACGTGTGTGCATCTGTGTGTGTCCACATGCACGTGTGTGCATCTGTGTGTGTTCACATGCACGTGTGTGCATCTGTGTGTGTCCACATGCACGTGTGTGCATCTGTGTGTGTCCACATGCACGTGTGTGCATCTGTGTGTGTTCACATGCACGTGTGTGCATCTGTGTGTGTCCACATGCACGTGTGTGCATCTGTGTGTGTTCACATGCACGTGTGTGCATCTGTGTGTGTCCACATGCACGTGTGTGCATCTGTGTGTGTCCACATGCACGTGTGTGCATCTGTGTGTGTCCACATGCACGTGTGTGTGTGCATTCCAATGCTCCCCTCCCCTTGTTCCCCCTTCCCCCCCCCCCTCACCTGCTGTACGTCCTTCTCCCCCGCGGTCATGGCAGCCTGCGCCAGCGCCTTGGCGCCCTTCTGCGCGGCCTGCTTCCCCCACATGCGCGCAGCGTCCCCAATCCGCTCCACCTTCTCCCCATCGCTCATGCTCCCGTCCCCCGTAGGCCCCCGTTTCCGCTTCCCCCCCCTCCCCTTCCCGTCCGCCAGGCTGCTAGTAAAGGAGCCCCAGGAGTCGAGTAGCTGGCCTATAGAGCGGGCTACGAGGGCGGAGAGGAAGAGAGTGAGGAGGTAGGAGGAGAGGAGGAGCGCGATAGACTTGGTCAGGGCGAGTCCGGTTGGTAGGGGGGCGAGAGCGATTGATGCCTGTGAAGTGAAGGATTGGGGAGAAGGGGACAAGTGGTTGGTGACAGGGCAGAGAGGTGCGGGAGGGGAGGACACGAGAAAGGAGGAGAGGAGCGGTGAGAGAAGGCGGAGAATGTGTGTGGTGTGGTGGGACGGGATAGAATGGCAGGAGAAGGAAGGGGGTGTGGAGGGGAGAAAAGGAACACAGGACATGGGCAAGAAGAGAAGGAAGCAGAAGGATGAAAAAAAAATGTTTTGAGACGTCTCAAAACATACTTAGTATAAGTAGATTGAGAACACTTGGAGGAAAGCAATGATGCGTTTCCATTCCATACGTTGGGGCTTGTGACTACTATGAAGCGAGAGAGGTGGTGCTGACGATGGGTACATTGACCGAAGGGGAGTGAGTGCACGGATGGGTGGGTGGAGAGGGGGCCGAGGGGGATTGCAATCATTGCAGAAAATATTTCTTAGAATTCTCAAGATTTGTTGTGTTGTGGGGCTTACAACGGAGGGGACAAAGAAGAGGGGCATCCATTGGTCGAAGAACGAGATGGCTGGGTAGCACCAATCGTACACTGCCACGTGGAGATGAATTGTAACAGGGGAAAGGAGGAGGCAGGGATGGGAGGAGGGAGTGGGTGGGGGAGTGAGGGAGTGCACGTTTGAGCGCTTATTTGAGCTTAAAACCATAATGAAGGTAAAATCCGCATCCCCTTCCTTCTAAGTGATTGCTTTAGACATATTGCTTTTATTCGTGCTTCAAAGTTGCATCACCTAAATCACGTTAAATTAAGCTGATTGAAATTCACCTCTCTCCTACGCATGCCTATACTCCCAACCCATCTCCTTACCCCACCCTGCCCTCCTCTTCAAGTGCGACATTCCCGCTCCGTCTCGTGCTCGCTACTGCTTCATTCGCTTTCACGCCAATTCTGCCCATCTTCACCAACGCACCTCACTCCTGCCAAGGGCTCCCCTTTCCCTCTTCCCTCTCTTCCCCCAGTCACTCACAACCATCTCCGCCTCATTAATTCCGTCGCCATAAGCGCGCCGATTTCCGCCAATCCCCCTCCAACTCCCCCCTCCCCCTCTTCTCTCTTCCCCAACAACCACTCACCCATCTCCGCCTCTTTAAGCCCGGTTGCCATGAGCGCGCCGATTCCCGCCAGCATCAGCACGGGCGCGGGCACGGGGAAGCTGTAGGTGCGCGCAGTGGCGGCGAGCGCGCGCTCTATTGCAAACAGTACCGCCACGCCCGCAATAGAGCGCACTGCAAGGGGTAGGGGGGATGGGGGAATGGGGGAAACGGGAAACCGGGGAAGAGGAGGGGGTAAGGGGACAATGGGGAAGCGGAGTGGGAAGCTGTCGGCGCGCGCAGTGGCGGAGAGCGCGTGCTCTATCGCGACCAGTACCACCACGCCTGCAATAGGCCGGAATGTACGGCGTAGAAGGGAAAGGCGGAAATTGAGAAGCTTTGGGCACGCGCATTGGAGGCGCGCGCGCGCGCTCTATTGCGCACTCCGCGGGGCCGGGGAAAAGGTCTTCATATTAATATTAATATTAAGATCTTAATAAGTATTGTACTGACAGCTTGCTTCATATAATTATTTCTCGGTTTTACTAGTAATTGCTTAGTATTTTAAGATCTTACCGATAGGAAAATCGCTCCACGACGGCGGCACCTCCCACACCTCGCGCGAGCCGCCGTCCCTCGAAACTGCCGAGGCTCGCACAGACAGCCGCCGCGACGCGGGCTGGCCTGGAGCCCTCGATATAAGCTTAATCCTCGGCAGTGTAACGTTGGTCTGCTGGGAAGCAGAGCCATTGGGCATCGCAACGGCAAATCTTCCGCTCTTATTTCCCGACAACACAGAAGCGCCGGAGCGGAATTGGCCATCGGACCGCCGGCTACTACGTTGTCGAGAAGACGCTGTGGTAACATGCGATGGCCGTCCAGTAGCTCCTACGATCGTCGCCATCTCTAGCTTACTACCGTGCGACACTGTCTGACTGTGCGACGCTGGCAGCGTGCAACGCGCACATATTTGGGCGGTATTTGCTGCTGACGTGGCCATGACGGCTTGAAGGTTGACCGAGGGAGCTTTATTCTTAGAAGGCTTGCGGAACGACGACAAATTATTTCTCGTGAAGTTAACTCTTGCCTCACCTTCGGTAAGGACTGATGCTGCTAAGGACGAGATCGCTCCTAAAAGTGAGCTACGCAAAGCGGTCGTTCATTCTTGTAGAACAATTTTTAGGAACAGAGATGGGAGACGAGTAATGAATGGTTCCTAGAAAATGCCCTAATATGAAGATTATGCTGGGCTGCTGCTGATTCGCTGTCGGGAATCGGAATCAGACAATTACATTGGTGTTGTCCCTCTTTTGACGAAACGTCGACGGAGACCGGCTGTGTGGATTGCGACAGGTTTCGCATTTCGCAGCGCAGAAGCGACATATCGTGGCGAATGAGAGGGCTGCTTCAATGGAGCTGGTTTGGGCGAGGAACAACCAGACGAGCCGCGTTATGAAAATTTGCGGTTCGACTTTCTGACCAGCCAGTGGGCCTGTGTGGAGGGAAACTGATGCCACCTAGGTCAAAGGCAGGCGAGATATTGAAATACACGTGGAGTTTGCCTTCCGTCCATGAATACCACGCACGAACAGATGCACGAATCAGCGCAAAGTTTTCAGGAAGGGGAGAAACACATCCATCCTCGATGTGAGATTCGGAAGCACTCAATCGCAAAACAATCGCACATTAGAGTGGAGAAGCACATTTTCGGTATGCAGTGCATAAAACCTCTACTACACTTGATCTCTTATCTTCATAAGTGTTAGGCCCCTTGGCCTAATTCCGCTAAGGAATAGCGGGGTTGACTAGATTGAGGATAAGCGTGGCGGAAGACTTTGACGAAAGAGAGTGTTGGCGAAATGGGCGAAGAAGTAACTCAGTAATTGAAGGGTTGAATGAGAATTTATTGATAATGGCAAATACAAGCAAGGTTGATATAGCATGCAAGATCGAATGTCGGAAAGTACTTCGTGGGACTAGGAATTGAAGGCAAGAAAGGTAGAGTGCCACGTGGCACTAGGAAATCAAGGACGATAAGGATAAGGATGAGTTGGAAAGTACTGTTCGGAATGAACAGTAAATCCCCCCTTAACACTACCCCCCTCCCAAGGAGGCGACGTCCGCGGCGCCTGCAGACTTGAGGTACACTTGGAGGCAAGCGTTGTTGGGAGACAGCGAGGACGAAGGAACCCAGCTGTCGTCTGCTGTGTCGTAACCACGTCAACGAACCAAGAAGTCGATGAAAGGGACACCCCCCTGGAGACGACGACGGTGCCTGAGGATGCGCTGGATCTGGTAGTCGGGCTCGTCGGTGTCAACAGCTACCGGCAGTGGAGTGCGGTCACGGCCCGAGAAGGTGGCATCGGGATCGGTGTAAGGACGAAGAAGCGACACATGGAATGACGGGTGCATGCGGAAATGAGCGGGAAGGCGAAGGCGGTATGCAACTTGACCTAGTCCGCGCTCAATGACGAATTGACCAATGAAACGAGGGCTAAGCTTGTGTGAAGAATGAGGAATGAAGAAGAGAGGAGGGGATTCACTAGCAAACATTGGGATACATATAGCCAACCCTAAAAGGGTTGTACTCACTATAGAGTACCCCACTGCAGACTAGAGAAACATAATATTCTGACAGCTTGCTGTCCTGTGGCAGTCGGAGATTACGGCTGCCGAGAAGGACACGGTCGCCAACTGAAAACGACACCTCACAACGACTACGGTTGGTGGTGCGTGTCAGAATCCCAACCACTAGACCATTGAGATAAAAGGGCTTGTTTCAGTAGCGGGTCAATGCGCCCATAACCCCCCAAGCGAACGCGCCTGTAACCCTCTCCAGGATCAATCGGGCATCCACAGTGCAGATCTACTGACACCCCCCCACACTGGGAGGCCCAGGACAAAGCACAGCGGCAACGGCCTACATGTGCATACACCGGGAATCGAACCCGAGACCGCTCTGATACCATGTGAAGAAACGAGAGTGAATGCACTATGAAAGAATTGGGTACAAGTACTAACCCTAATTCGGTTGTACCCCATATAGGCTACTCCACTACAGCCTACACAAAAGCATAAGCTATAATGTTCTGACAATGCGTGCATTTGCGAGCTCAAGATGCTTCCTCACGTGATCATGAATGAAGGTGAGATGCTGGTGGAAGTTGTCCGTGTGAAAGTTTAGAAGAAGGAAGAGAGAAGAGGGGTTGCACTAGCAAGAATGGGGATACAAATAGCAAACCCTAGAAGGGTTGTACTCGCTATAGAGCACCCCACTACAGGCTAGAGCATAAGATAACATTCTGACACACCCCCATAGCCAAAGTGGGGTGTAATCAGCAGAGCAAGCAAAGCAGTACAAGCTCAGGGTGGATCACAATGTCACCACACATTCTGAGCACAAGTTCAAGAAGCAATAGTTTAAAGGGTACAATTATGAGCAAAGCTAGAGGCTATCGCAGAGGGCTAGTGTGGAGGAGGAGGGACTATGAGAGGAGAGGAGGTAGTGGGCGGCAGCTGAAGCTGCTGGCACACGGCGCAACTGGAGCAACTGGCACACGGGCAACTGAAGCAACTGGCACACTGGCAACTGGAGCAATTGGCACACGGGCTACTGGAGTAACTGGCTCCGCGGCTAAAAGTAGCGGCAGATGAGCAACGGACTCACGGGCGACTGGAGCAACGGGCTCACGGGCGACTGGCGCAACGGGCTCACGGGCGACTGGCGCAACGGTCTCACGGGCGACTGGAGCTGCTGGCTTCTCGGCGGCCACCCCCTTCAACCTCCCCAAACTATCCCACCCCCATTTCACACACCCCCTACTGCACCCCTAGGGTCACTCACATGTCACCCCCCTAGCACCACTCCTTCGGCTCCCACACACCCATCCCCCTCAGCGGCAGTTGCAGTAGTGGGAGACGGAGGAGGAGGAGGAGCAGGTGACGGCTCACACACCCGCCACCCCCATACCCGTCACCCCCATACCCTGAGTATGCGGTAAGCGACCTCAGGTGTGCGCGAATAGTGCACAAGTGTGCGGGAAGCGAACTCAGGTGTGCGGTAAGCAGACTCAGGTGTGTCGGGGAGGGGGGGGGGGGGGGGGCGGAGGGCGACGCGTGGGTCGACGGGGACGAG